GAGCTCTATAGTAAAGTACTATAGTATACCTACTATCTTAATTATAAGGCCTAAGTAAATAATACCCTCTATATTCTTTATATTAATAGTATTAGGAATTATTAATAAAGATAATAATATCTATAACCTAGCTAATAATAATAACTTTATTAACTATCTATATATACTAAGTAATAATAAATTTAAATTAATATTACTAGATATTTAATTAACCTTATATCCTATTTTTACTATTAGTATTAATAAGATACTATTTAACCTCTTTAAAATACCCTTATCTTTAGCTCTAAGTAGTACTATTAAGTAAAAAGAAAGACCTATAATATAGATTAAAATTCTAATTAGATTAATCTTAATATCTTAAAACTACTAATATATACTTTACTCTAATCTTAATAATATAATAAACCTTACTATATTTAGTAACCTTATTTATAATAAAGAACCTATAATATATAAATAGGCTATCCTTTATCCTAACTTATAAAAGTAAAAAGGCTTAATAGTAGATAAGTATAACTCTTTAATAGAGAATTATATTATAATTATAGTTAATAAGCTTAAAAATAAGACTATCCTCCTAAGTAAGTAGGTATATAAACTTAAAAGAAGTACTAATAATAAGGTTATTTATTAGAAATCTTAGTATATAGTAAAAGGTTTTAATTAATATAAAAGACTTAATTACTATAAAATATTTATAAATATATTAAAAATTTTAATACTATACCTATTATTAGTAATTATAGCTATTTTAAACCTTAAGGTTAAGTAAATAAATATTAAGATTACCTTTCTTTATAATCTTATAGATACTAAAGTCTATATTAAAATACCTAAAGAATATTAAAAAGAATACCTTAAGAAAGTATAGAAGCTACTAAAGTCCCTATATAGGCTAAAGTAAGCCTTATAGATCTAGTATATAACCTTTTATAAAATACTTTAAAGTCTTAGCTTTAAGCCTATATAGCTTAATTATTCCCTATTTATCTATAAAGATAGCCTAATTATTATAGTTTATATTAATAATCTTCTTATTATTAGTAAAAATAAGGTTACTATTATAAAGATTAAGAAAACCCTATTAAATACTTATAAGATAATAAATATAGGCCTTATTAACTACTATCTTAATATTAATATTTACTAGGACTAATATATAAGAACCTTTATATTCTTTTAAAGTAGATATACTAAAGCCTTTCTAAAAAAAGCTAGCCTTCTTAATTATAAACCTTATAACCTACTAATAAGTCTTACTATTAAAAGTATTAAATAATAACTAACTATTAAAAATAACTAGTATATTAAGACTTATAGAAGCCTAATTTATCTTTCTAACTACTCTAAGCCTAATATCTACTTTACTATTAGCTATTACTATAGATTTATAGCTACCTTACTAATAAAATATATTATTAGCTTAAAATAGCTTTTATAATATATTAAAAATACTACTAACTATAAACTTATTTTTATAAGACCTAATAAAAGACCTTAAGTCTACTATAATACTAATTATACTAGTTACTAATAAATATATAAATCTATTAATAGCTTTATTATTACCTTAAAAAATAGTATTATATCTTAATACTTAAAGCTATAGAATATTATTATATACTTAACTACTAAAGTAAAGTATATCTCTTAGTATAATATAGCCTAAAAAGCTATCTAGATTTAATAGCTTTATTATATTATTATAAAAACCCTTAAGGAAAAGCCTACTTATACTAAGATTACTATTTAGGCTAATAACTCTAATACTATTACCTAAGCTTCTAGTATTTAAGAATACCTTTATATAAAGTATATAGATATTTAATATTATTAGTTATATAATAAGAATATACTATACTAATTAAACTTTAATTAAATTCTAAGTATTAAGAATACTATTAATATTATAATTAAGTTATTATTAAAGCTAGCCTTTTATAAGTATAAGTATTACTTAAGATTATATTAAGTACCTCTTAAGCTATAATTTTTTAAGGGTCTATTCTAAAAGTATTATACTTTTAAGGCTTTTAGTCTTTAAGGTATTACCTACTAGAGCTACTTTATAAGTATTATAGTTAATTAGTTCTATACCTTTAAGGTATTACCCTCTATAGGTATTATAATAGGCTTTTTATTAATATTATTAGTATTAGCCTTTAAGGTATTACTTACTAAAGGCTAGCTAGCTCTTTATTAATACTTTTATTAGTACTAGCCTTTAAGGTATTACCTATTAAAAGCTAGCTAGCTCTTTATTAATACCTTTATTAATATTAGCCTTTAAGGTATTACCTACTAAAGGCTAGTTAGCTCTCTATTAATACCTCTATTAGTATTAGCTTTTAAGGTATTACCCTTTAAAGGCTAGTAAGCTCTCTATTTACTACTATCTCCTTACTTTTAAGACTATTATAGGCTAACTAGTACTAAGCCTTTAGGATATTACCCTCTAAAGGTATTATAATAAGCCTTTTATAGCTATAAGTTATAAGGCTTTATAGGTCTTATAGCTACTAAGGCTCCCTTTATAGCTTATTATTATTTTA